CCCAAGGTCCTTCACAATCTAGCTGCAACTTCCCCTTCACCTCTCACCTTCTTCCTCATCTTTAATGCTTCCTACTCTCAAGCCACATAAGACTGATTCACTCACAATCTGTCACTACACTCCTGTCACTGCCTAGAACACCCTGCTGTCTCATTTCCACACAGTTGGCATTCATCCTTTAAGACCCAACTCTAAAGCCACATCTTCCACAATACTTTCCGGGGACTCAGACCGACTTAGATGTTTCCTGTTGATTTTCACATAGTTCTGGAGATGGGACGCCTTTATTGGGCTTTTTACTCAATTTTGTATCTGTCTGCCTCATTAAGCTGTGAGTTCATTGAAGGCTGTATTCTTGGTTGTCTCAGATTCCTGGTCTCTGGGATAATCAATCATCTCAGAGCTCAGTGAATGAATGGGAGGGTGCAGGGCTGTGGCAATAGGCATATTCAATTTAGAAGAAGCTTATACAAGTCTCTTTATTTCAGTTAATAAGTAAGGGCATTTCCATCCTAAGTACCTGTCTTATCAATAAGCTGAAACTGTCTTATTGATAAGATTGTGTGTGTGTGTGTGTGTGTGTGTGTGAATAACCCTTTCATTGAAGTTGTGTGCTAGTAAATGTTTCACAACAGGTCCTTGAAGACAAGGGCTCTGACTGTAACATTTGCCAGTTTCTGTGGTGTAAATACTCCCATCATGGCTGACTTCAAGCTGTCATCCTAATGTCACTGAATATAAGGTAAGAAGAGATTACAATTGGTTCTCCAAAGCCAGTTACGAACACATAACTGCCTTTATGAGTCACAATTAATAAATCTATTGAAAACTGAAAAGTCATATTTGGAAGTCCATGTTCTTGGATGTATCTTGAGCTGTGCTCTGTAATATGTCTCATGTATAGAGCTGTTTCCCTTTTCCCTTAGCACACGGATATATTTCAAAAATTGAAGAATATTCTGCATTCAAGTACCCATACCCAGGTAATTAATACCCTTCTTAAATATAGGAGGTAAAGAAGTCAGAGGTGATCACAAATGTTGGAAAGATGTTGGTGCACGGACAGAGACAGGCAGTAGGTGGTGGAGCTGTTTGGGAGTGAAGAGGGTGTCTCTTTGCTTTCCCATAATGAGGATCTACCCTACATAGTGAACTAAGGACAAGGTATTGAATAGAAGGTTCTAGAGACCATTCCTGGTGACAGAGAATCACCTGCAGAAGTTAGAGAAGAAATCAGGCCACAGAATCAACTATGGAGGAAAAATGCAGCAATGGAAATCAAAGAGTCAAATATGGAGATTTTTGGAGATTTGGAAGAAAACAGACCAAAAGAAAAAATGCAGTCAGGTAACTAGGAAAAATTTTTAAAAAACACCAAGGAACACCCTGAAGGAGAATGATGAAAGTAGGCAAATGTTCCATCAAAGTACAGAGAACAAAGAATGAAAACAGGCTACTGGATTTCAGTCCAAGGGATGGGGCCACAAAACCCCCTGCCAGGGGCATGTGGATCGCAGCAATCCAGCTTTTGGGAAGACTGTCCCATATATAAGTCAATGCTCTTTTTTTGTAGCTAGAAAAAAACAGTGTAAGAATTGAAGGCTCCTTTCTGCCTAAAACTGGGTTCAGATCTAAGGGAGTCAAGGGAAACGCATGAGCCAATGAATGAACAAAGCCCACACAAGGCATGAGTAGAGCTAGTGTCGGGGAGGGAGCACGGTTCCAGCTGCAGGCTGAGAGGCCTGGCTCGGTGAAAAATGGAAATTCTGGCGTGGCTTTTCAGCCTTTCTGTGTCCAGGGGCAGTGGCCAGTTCCAATGCGGAAGAGCCTCATCCAGAACCACAAGATGGACGGCTGCCCCCAGGGAGCCATCCTGTGGCGGAGGGACTAGCCTGGCAGAAAGCTTTAGAGGGGTGGCAACTGGCATCAGAGTCTCTGCCAAAACAAAGCAACTCTGCAATAAGAGAAAATTTCAAATATCAAGAGAAAAGCTGAACCCAGCGGGAAACACAAACTGCGGGGCCATACGTGCGCTGGACCCGACCCAAGTCAGAACATTGGCTCTGCCTTCCTGCACACGTGGGCACACCTGCTCGCCCTCCCAGAGGAGGTTTCCTAGAGAGGTGGCCTTGGCTGGGAGCAGGAAGGTGTCTTGTCGGTGCTTGCGCTAACTCTTGGCACGTGCACAAGCTTGCTCTTGCCTTGAAGAATGGTTGCCTAGGAAACGGACCTGCCTCAGGTCCAGCCCAGCTCACATGAGTAACCTCTTCTGTCTCCTCTTGTTTCCCCCAGCAAAATCCCTTCCAATGAATGATTTTCCTGCCCTGTGTTAGCTGGCCCAAGCTTTTCTACAGGTCACTACTTCAACACCGTTTTGTATGTCCCCCGTCTTTGCAAAGACTCTTAAGGAAGAGTATTTACCTGCTTAAAGGTCTCTTGGGCCCAAGGACCTGTCAGTGATCTCATGGCCACTGGCCTCAAGGACACTGTCAGCCAGATGAGAAGACCATATGGATGCTCAGGAAGTAGCTCCCCATAAAACGCAATACAAATTAGGTCATTGTGAGTTAAAGCTGGGAAATGCTGTATGACTTTCGGGAGGGGAAGACTTCACAGAGAAGGGACGCTTAGAGCCGGGCCCAGGGTTTGAGGGTAACCACAAGAGCAAAGGCAAGCACGAGTAAACGTGGGAATGGGTGCTAATTCAGTGAAACAACCCGCAACAGCAAATCTGTTATTCACAGAGAGATGGACAGGGAAGGAGAGCAAGGAGGCCACCATCAGTCTCTCAGCTAAAAGGCTCTTGAGAAGAGTTCATTCCAGGAGACAGGATGAAGCTGTGAAAGCCTGTTTGTTCTCAGAGAAAAGAAGAAGAGAGATGAGGAGGGTGTGGTACTGCAGAGCACGGCAGGGGTTCCAGGTGCTCCCTGGCTGCATCCAGAAAACAAGGTGCCTGGTTTCTCCGTCACCTCTGCTCACACCTTGTCTTTCCCTTTCCTGCCTCTTCCCTTTGGGTTAGAGCAGCACTCACTCAAAGCAGTCATTTCCCAGAGCCATCCCTCCTCTGGACACACTGAAGGGCTGAGAAGCCCTCTCAGTGAGGGGCAGGCGGGGAAGTGCTTCTCCACCTGTAACATGCACTCCCTCACCTGGGGGTCTTTTCAAAGGCAGATTCTGATTCCTTAGGTCTGGGTGGGACTGGAGATCCTCATCTCTTACAAGCTCCCGGCTTCTAAAAAGATGCCCATTTGGCTGTCCCTGTGTCACACCTAGTAAGGTGACAAAGCATTCCCAATGCCAAGAGGTCTCTCCACAAGTGCACAGCCCTTCCCTCCCCGAAGTTCTGCCCCTCACCTTACAGAGAGAGTAACTAGAAGCATTTTCTGAGGTCTGGGGACACATTTATGTAGACCCTCGGTGGGCTGGATGAGGCCCATGACCTGTGTGGCTTGTCCACTAAGATACTTTATAATTACCAGCACTTAATTGAGCTAGACAGTTGAAAGAGACAAAATATAAGGCTGTAGGACACGCAGGTTGAAGTATTGTCAATCCAACCTACATCAAAAGAAAGAATGTGGACTTTCCTTCAGGGGGTTAGGAATCTCTCATGTTATCCTTAATACAACCACTGCAGTAAAAGAAAGGAAAATGGGGGCTCAGGCAGGTTGAGTATATTGAACAAGGTCACATGTAGGCATTAGGGCTTGTAGGTTACATCATGGGTCTGTTTGGCTCAAAAGCCCTCTTCTTGCATGAGAAATACAAGGGTACACTGTTCACATTACACGTGGGTTGAATCCTAGGTCTACCCTTGGGAAGGCTGCTTAATCTCAATGTACTTCTGTTTTCTCGTATATAGAAATGGAGACAGCTTCTGCTTCCCGGGCGATTGTAGGATGAGATGAGAATGGTAGCTCGTGACTGTACTGACTGTACGCTGAATCTAGGACTTGGGGAAATTCATTAATGTCAGTTACTGCTCTTTCTTATTTCTTGAGATGTTAGATTGCCTCTCTACTCCCAGAAGATATACATTTGGAGCAATGACTGGAGGTTTTAGGACTCTGATTACCTACCTCAACTCCCTGCTTCAGAATCTGTGCTAAAACCTCAGCCTATAAACATTCAGGATGCAGCAAGACTGGAAGACAGAGCAGGAGTAAGAATAAAGGGGGCTGGACCGTGAGTCCCATCAGTTTAAGGAAAGCCCTGCAGGGTACTCTGGGGCACTGAAAGCTGATTTTTCAGGCAATACGACCTTTAGGAGGCGGCTGGATGGACACAGTGATGGGAAGACTGTGCTAGCTGGCTTGGAGACGGGAGAGTGGTACGGAGGCAGGGAATCAGGCGAGCAGTGTAATATGAAAAGAGAGACCCCTCAGAATCAGGTCAAAACATATGGATTCTGCTCCTACTTTGCCAGCTGCAGGAGCTTAGGCAACGTATTTTCAGCTCTTTGGGTTTCACGTTCCCCACCTGAAAAATGAGGCATTGCTACGAGACTGTTAGGTCCTGCCAGCACTAAAATGATGCATTGGAATTCTGCTTATTGCAGTTAACGCGAGCTTGAGAGGATAAAGGGTAAAATCAGCCGTGGTGTCAACAGAGTGCAGAGGAAGTAAAGGTATGGAAGGTTTTCAGCAAGTTGACATGACAGGGTTTAATGGATAATTCCACATAAGGAGACATAAGGCAGAGAAGAACCAAACCGATTTTGAGTTTATCCTGGGATACAACGGCTTTGGCAGTTCCAAAAGAGAGAAGTTATGGGACTTGGTTTAGAAGAAGTAAACTGAAAACGAATCCTTACGTGTGGGTCTGGACCAGGACACTTCCACAAGCCCGAGAGTGAGTGAGGGCCCCTGGAAATTTTGCACCCCAGACGCTCCCCTCACCTCACACTAGCCCCAGCACTCACCCTGCAGAGGAAACACTGAGAGGCTGAAACAAAGGAGGATCAGAAAAGAAGAGACCGTGAAGTTGGCAGTGGCCCTTACCTTCGACCAGTCTCCCACAGTTAAATGCGGAGGACAGTCTGTTCTGGCGCAGGACTTATGAGAAGAGGCCTTGGGTCCCTGGCACAGTTCGTCTGAGAGATTCAAAGAGCTGCCATCCGTTAACAGCTGTCGACAGGTGACTCTGCGGTTCTGAGTGCCCCCGCCACATGTCCTGGAGCACTGGGGAGACAGAGAGAGGCGGGTCAGCGGGCTGGGCCCCTTTCGAGTTAGCGCAAGGCAGGGCTCTTACATCAGAAGCCTGGCGGCCCTGCAGTCACCAGTCGGCCATACCTGCTGCCATTCCTCGATGTGCCAGCTAGGAGGGCAGTCAAACTGATTGCATGCTTGTAAGGCGTGGGGCCTCTCCTCTCTGCAGTCCTCAGGAGGGGAGGGCGATCCCCCGGGCTGCAGGCAGTACACTTCCCGGGTCTGTATGCCAACACCACAGGTAGCCGAGCAGGGCCCCCAGGACCCCATGTGCCACCTGTACCGAAACACAAGTGGGCAAAGTTAACTGTGTCCAGTGAGCCTCTGTGCCACAGCCACAGCAGGGACAATTTCAAGTTCCTCCCGGGACCTCCAGACTCCGCTCTCCACATACTGATCGCCATCCTAACTTACTACCGTGTATCAATAATAAAATCTTAGCTTTGTTTTGAACAGAGCCCTAAGGCAAGGATGATTTATCCGGGTGTCAAAAGGAATTTTAAATGCTCAAAAGCACACTTCAAGAAATCTTCAGGGCACCTGGATTCATTATTTGGAATATCCCTAAGAAAATTATTTTATGTTAGGATTGGAATATACATATATATATATATATATACATATGATTCTTTTCCAATAAGATCGTGGAAAAATCAGGTTTTCTCATGAAACGTCTGTAAAAATGAAAAACCAGGTCAGCTGCTTTTGATACATATTTCCAAGCTGCCTTCAAGGAAGACTGTCTCAAGTCACACTCTCACCAGGAGCACTGCAGAGGGCCTGGCTTCCTACAGCCACATCAACACTGGACGATGCCATTTAAAAAAGTTTCTGCTCATCTGGTGAGTGAACAATTGTATGTGATGATCATTTTAATTCTTGGATACTTAATTATTAGTGAACATGAAGTTTTAACTAGTTACTGTAGAGATATATCACGAGGAAAGAATTTACAAACGCTTAAAACGGACATTAATAAAAGAATGGGTGTTGCAGGGTAGTATGTAACAGCAAAAATAATTTAATGAATAAAAATAAATTAATTTAACTTTACAAAGTGGAAGGAGGCAATCTAAAGGTTTAATATTAAAGGGCAAAATAAATAATTGTCTCTTCACAGAGCACAATGCTAGCAGCCATTAAAAAATAAAGCAGATGTAGAGTTCTTGACATAGAAATACATTCATGATACGTTTTTTTTTATCAGAAGGTAGGTCATAAAATCACCATACTATTCTATGCACTTAGAAATGCATGCAGAAAAAGAACCTGGATAATTACACATAGAAATGTTAACAGTGATGATCTCTAACTGATAGGATTTTAATTTTCTTTATACTTGCCATTTTTTTCCTGATTTTTCTTATAATAAACGTTCATTATTAGAAAAAATAAATTAGTTCTTTGAAAAAAACAGTGTGTATCTAAACGTTATTTTTGGCTTTTCTGATTTCTGTTTTTCCTGACTTCTTCATATTTATTTAATTATTCCTGGGGGTTTTTTTTCAGGTTTGGTTGAGTTTGTTATATTTTTAAATTCCATTTTCTCCTCTGCTATCTTTCATTCTTAAGAGTTATCCTTGGAATTCTAAAGAGCTTATTTAATTTCCAGACTTAATCAAAATTATTCCCATCTTCACAAACAGTACAAAGGGCTTAAAGTACCTTAACTCCAATCAACCTTTGACCCAGTTTCACCAGGCTTTGCTGTTCAACATCGATTTTAAATCCATAAAGTCAATCTTACTATTGATTTGCACAATCGATGATTCTTTTTTGGAGTAACTGTCTTTACAATGCACTTTGCTCTTTATTCATTCTTGTATCTCAGACCATCCTTCTAGGATCAGTTTGCTTCATGAATACATTCCTTTAAAATTATCTTTAGGGAAACTTTGCTGGTAGTAAAGGGTCCAGGTAATTTGGGCCGTGTCTGGTCATAGGGCTCATTTGTGTCCGTCCTCCATCCCCACAGGTGAGCAGCCTCATGCAAAC